GGCAAGAGGTTCAAATTCAAACCTTCTTCTGATTTGAAAACTTCTAATCAAAAGATAAATATTAAATAAAGTAATTAGACTATAATAAAGGCTTCTACAATCTCAGAAAAATTATGCTTGTCTGAATTCTCAGTGCATTTTAATTCAAAATAGGGAAAAACAATTTTCATCAACTATTGATTTATCAATATCCTTGACTTCATGGAACATTTTTGATAGTTGTGTTCTAATTAAACAGCATTATTCAAATATAATAAATTCTATAACCATCACTTAACATTGACTGCTTGGGATTTTAATAGCTCTGTTACCTTCAAATCTCTCTTAAAAAGCATAATCAATTTTGCATCCTAGCTTCCTAGCTGCTGTTGGACTACTGAAACTCCCTATTTTGATGTCATACAAGAACATATCACTGTATGGTGTAACCCCTAGACAGGTGGCATTCTTCCACGTTGCTAGCAAAATCAGTGCAACTAGAGAAGACTTGCAGGTACCTGCAAGTGGTGGATGACATTCCTTCAGCAGGTATTAAATCAAGTGAAAGAATGTAATATTGCCATCAGTGAGTAAAATTCACTGAATTTTGCTGGAAAAAAGTTGTGGATGTAATTCAGCTTTTACCCATTACCCTCATATTAACATTATTCCCTTAAAATGAAAGAATGCTCTTTGTAATTCTGTTCTTACTCAGTATTCTCGTACTAACTTTATTCCCTTGAGATGAAAAATGCTGTTTAAAATATTAGGATTTGAGAAATCTTACATTTTGTATCTCCCCAACCACAAGGGGACTGTGGCATAGAATATGTTAATTTTCTCCTTTTGATGCTTTTCTCCCTTAAAGAATTCTATTTTTATTGCAGCCGAGATTGGAACTTAGTGTGTCCCATCTTCCAGGTGCACTAATTACTTATCTAGATAATCTCTCTAACACTCAGTGAAAATTTAAGTAGTTCTATAAAATGGATCAGGCTGCAAAACCCATTTTGGCATGGCTTGTTTCTCTAATTGGCTTGAACTTAACTGTGGGGGTGGAGGGAAGAAATGAGAAGAAAAAAGAAGGCACTTTCCTTATCTCACTCAAAAGATAAAACTAATAGTTTTAATATCATATAGCATTTTTCACTTGAGTTAAAATAAAACATGGGTATAAGATAAACTTAGTCGTTACAGCAAGACTTAAAGTGTAGATAACCTGGATTGATTCCTTTCTTTGCCAGTGAGAACTGAACTGCAAGTAGTACTTTCCAGAAGAATGTCCCAAATTAAATCTTACTTTTTACACATCCCTCTTAGTACTTTCAATAGCCAAGAGTAATAGAAAAATGAGGCATATTTTGTGAATGATGTGTTTTAATATATATAGGTATCATGTCATTTATAATAGACATTTTTAATATAAATCCTTTGTAACACACATTTTTCACAGAGAAAATAGCCAAAGCAAGTACCAGTTTCAGTAATTCACTGAGCTAAACACTGAAACCAAGTACCTCGATTGGTTCTGAACCAGTGTCTTTGTAATTAATACTCTGCAATGTGTTGACACTGCTGATTTACTACAATTCTTAATTTAAAGCTATAAGCAGATTTATAGATTTTGTGGAGAAACAGAAAAGGCACATTACAAATTAGGTTTTTTAGTTATATACAGAAAAAAATGTCTTATTACTATGTGTATATTAAAATGGTTTCTAGTATAATTTTCTGGTAGCCTTGGGGAAACTAATGGCAGCATATGAGCAATTTAATGCCAATTTCATTTAGAGTATAGAGAGTTCAGGAAGGGAATTTATGAGAAAAAATAACTCCAAAGACTCAATATCGAAGTCTAATCCTAACTTCTTTTTCCTCCTTTTTTTTTTTTTTTTTTTTTTTTTTTTTTTATGCAAGTAATCCCACTTACAAGTACATGTATTCAAAACAAGGGAAAATTTTGAGTGGCATTTTGAGTTGGGAAAATGCTTCTATGGGAGCTGTTTCTTAACATGGTTTTCAAAAGATCTCTTTGGAATAAATTGGTTTGTTCTGATGGGATTTATGCTCTACAGTGCTGACGGTTAAGTGCTTAATGGAGTATCTCCATGGGCTCTGTATTATTGTTGAATAAAACACAGAAGTTGAAGAAACACTAAATAAAACTCTATGCTGAATGCAGGAATAAAAGTGAAGTCTGGAAGACAGTAGATAAGTTTCCTGTTTCATCTACAAGCATTGTCTTCTGGGAAAAAGACATTCAGATACCACTTCTTTAATGACAATAACTAGTTCTGAAGCAGTTGATTATTTTTTTTTTTATTAACTCAGGGTGAGAAGTTTGAATAGGTTGTAACTCCATGAATAAATGTGTCATATTAGTGATATACTTTATGGGGAAACATGGAGAATACAGAAGACTCTGAATGAAGTTAACGAGCTAGTTTTACCATTCTATGGAGCTGAGTCTTTCATAAGATCATATCATGGCTGTGCCTGGAATAGGAAGGAGCCTAATCTGAATTAGCTATTGAAATAGCACCTGGATTTTTGCTATGTAAAGGAAGAAAACTAGTCTGGATTTACTTTTCTAGCAAGTAGGCAGTGCTCTGATAGTGGCAGATAAAATACGAAGAAATTAGTGATAGAAGGGGAGAAAAAAAAAAAAAAAGACAAACAGCACAGTCAGTACCAAAATTCACAGGAAATAAAAATAGGATTTCGATTGTATTTGGTATTGCAAACAAATCAGTTGATGTCCAGCAACATGATTCAACAACTGCTACAGATTTCAGTGTTGCATGCATCTGACATAGATGACGTGGCTAAAAGTGTTACATACACTGTAAATATAGGCTAAAAAAGCTAATAGGTCTATGCTGGTGGCACAGGAAACATTGACCCAGTGAGCAAAAGAAGTACATGTTTATGTTGACTGGAAAAACACAGTCAAGAATTAGAGATTTCTCTTTTTAAGAATCAATTACTGAAATTATTCTGGAGGTTTGAAGATGCATTAAAGTAGGAAGAAACAGGATGCACGTAGCCAGAAAAGGAGGTAAAGTTATAGCAAAAAGTAAAAGATGCACTAAACTGAATTTACAAGAAATACATAAAGACTGCATCTTGACCAGATTGCTGGGAGGCAAAGGGTGAGAAGTTTAAAAGCAGTAATGTCATGAAAGCACTTGAGGCAAGAGTAAAAGCTTGAATTTACTGTTGAAGATTATTGAGAAAGAGTATACAACAGAAGCAATGATACAGCAACATCTGTTTTCCTTCAAAAAAATGTATGTCAACAAAAAGTTTGGAAAAGACAAGAAAGAAACTTTATTTTCAGAAACTGTGTTTCCAAAATGCATCAATCATAGATCTACTTTACATTTTTTTAAGTCTTGATTGAGATTTTATACATGAAGAGTGAAATACTATTCAGCTTTAAAAACTCTGGAGCACCTTTATCTTATACCAACAACTAAAGTATGCAGTTGTGGCTCCTCATAGCACTACCCTTCCCTCAAAAGATTTTTATATATACACAGATATATGGGGGGTTTATATACATATGTAGATCCTGTCATGACAGTCCTGATACATTGTTTAAAACATTAAAACAATTTGTCAGATGGCATTCCTACAAAGAAGTTGGATCATGTTTGCTCCCAAAATGGAAATGCTAAAATTTATCGTAAAAATTTCTATGGGTTGCCAGATCCCATACTTTTGAGGTTTTTTGACAACTGGTTTATCTCATTTAAATTTAATTTAAATAATTTAGGTCTACTAACTTGTAAATGTTTCTTCTGTTTGTTTTCATGTTGATCAGCACTGCAGCACAAAATGGGGGCTGTGGAATATGTGCTTGGGATAATTGATGGTGTTGCCATGGTGTCCAAAACAACTTCCCATATACTACTATGTTTTATGCCATTTTGCCTCTAAAATTTGTTTAAAATAATGTTACTGACAGCTCTCATTTTTCCTTTATGAGATCTCAGCGACTGTCATCAGATATTTATTTTTAGAAGCACAAGTATATTACAAAAAAAATACATAAGCCTATTGAGGATAAATAAAATATCTCCATAGTAACATTCTGGATACTGATGTGTGACTGATTCTAGACAGATTGACAAACTTCGGCCCTAATTCTGCATCAGGATTTGTTAGAGTAGTGTCCTGAGCCCCAAAATTACTTCAGCAGTGAAAATACCTCTTTTTCTCTCTTCTATAGTTGTTTAGCAGCAATGATTGATTTTTTCCAGATGTGGATAGATATGAAAATTTATTTTATTAGTTTTTATATAGTCAGCTGCAAATGCAATCAAGAAAATCCCCTCAAGGCAAATGAATATTTTCATTTTGCTGACTTTTTCAAAGAATACATCCTACCATAATCATGTACATTAGGCTTATTTTATAATATGTTTAAATGCTATCTTAAATAGTTTGGTTTGAAATGAGTAATTGATATTGATGTCCATAGAGTGCAATAAAAGTTTTCATCTGCAGGACAATATTCATGATAATAAAAAAGATCATGTTATATTCTAAAGTCAGGGGTTCTTAAAAGTCCATTTAGGACTTTTTTTTTTCTCTCTTGGTGTCAGTGTACCCATACCCAGTACTGTATTATCATAGCTGCTTGTGTAATCAGGAGTCCTTTCCCAGGCTCACCTGTGTAAACGTGAGTGAAGTAAAACTCCCTCAGCTTCTTTGCAGTTTGCACTGAAGCTTATGTAACTAACTTGCTGTTTCTGTATTTTATCAGTCATCTGTGACAAGCTTCCATAGACAAATCAGAGAAAAACATGTAGGCAACTATGATTTTAAAAGCTAAAAGACACCATGTATACTGTATAGCAAATGATAAGGTTTTAACATCCACCCTTGAAATAAGTGTGATTTCTGTTCCTTTCATCTAAACAGGTCTGTATTCCAAGGGAACCTGGTGATAGTAACAGCAACAGTAGTTACTTACAGACATGAGTCATAATTATGTTCTTTCTCTCTCATTTAAGTTGTTCGAGTTCATGAATTTTTTGGCTGAGAATGTCATCTTCTGTTACATGGGACTCGCACTATTCACGTTTCAAAATCATATCTTCAATCCTCTTTTTATATTTGGTGCATTTGTATCCTTTGCTTTAAAGAATTATATATCTATGTACGTGTATATTTATAGATATATATATGAAGAATGTGTGCTCTGTGTGAAAAAAAAAAGTCAACAAGCAAACCAATCAGTTCCTCAAATATTAAACATCATTTTTTTTTGTCAAGTCGAAAGGTAATCATTTTTATTATGCATATCTTGATAACTGGCTCAATGCATGTAAGCATATGGTCTTTCAAAAGTTGCTGTTTTGCAGATCTGCTACAAAGCAAATCGCTTTAAACCAGCTGGGGAATTTCTGCCACTGGTTTACAAATGGGATGGGAAATTGGGATAGTTATTGGGACACATCTGTGGAAACAGGTGCAGGCACACTAAATCTTTTTGCCTGTCAAGACCCAGCGCAGATCCACAAACTGTAGAGCTATCACCAGGCAGGTATGTGCCATACGCAGAACTTCCCCAAAGCAACTTAAATGCTATCACGTCCTTAAAAACTGAACAGTTCTGCATTGCTCAAATCTTTCCTTCTTTGTATTTGATATCTCTAGTGTACATGGATTTATTTACGCCATCATGTGCCCAAGAGACTGGTAAGAAAAAGAGCCTGTGCCTTTAATTCTGCCATGGTTTCTCAACAAATCTGTTGCTTACTTGTACAGTCATATCAATTCTTTTCACGCTGACAATTTACACAATGATTTCTTTTTTTTAGCTCAGAATAGCAACCCTTTGCTTATCACTTTCTGATGAACTGTAATAGCTTTGCAAGTTGGGATCATACTGTTTACTTGCAGTAATTTTTAAACGTAATTTCCAAAAGAATAATAAGAACTTCATCACAGCTCCCTTGGCTACAGGTTGGGTTAGGTGGCAGAGAGGATCGCAAGAGCCTGTTGCAGCCCACCACCAGCACAAGGCAAGTGCAGGACCGTGTCCTGCACTCCCGTGGCACGGGCTCAGCATCCCAGGTGGGGACTCTGCCGAGAGCACCGCAGGGATCCGGCTCTGCCATTCCCCCTCACGGAGAGCCAACAGGCTGCAATAGGCTTCTACCAGACAGCTGAGCACAGGGCCTACGTAGAAATCACTGCTAATGCATGTTCTCCCAAGTCTATAGGAGCTTTAAGCAGCTCTTGGCCCAGCAGATGCAATACATACAGACGATGCCACTCAAGTACTACATCTATTCTGCAGTCCACAGCATGTCTCAGGCTGAGTGCCATAATTGAGCCTTAAGAGTCAGAAGACAAAGGTAGGATGGAACCTGCTAAAAGCAGGTAGATGGAGCTCTGATTGTCTTTTTTTTTTTAAATCTGAAATAGCTTCATGTTTCTAATTAAGGCAACTTTTGTGATCATTCCACAGAGGAGTAATAAAAAACTCCTTTTGAAATATCTTCAAAGAGAAAAAAAAAATAAAATAAAAAAAAAAAGTAAAGCGTGCTGGATATGGACAATATGAATTGTCAGGAAATAAGGAAGTAATCATGTCCAAGAGCACATTTATTCTTTGCAAATTGCTGCTCAAGGAGATAATGCCATCTCTGCAATTGATGTCAGGCATTTTACTGAAGGACTGAAGATGAAGTCACATGTGATACAAATGTGATGAATAGAAGTAGACTGATTGAAGTGGGATATATAATGATGAATATAAAACCAGAATGTCTGGGGAAGACAATCTCTGCCACTGCACAGTTTTATAATGAAATTGGAACCAGAGGGATCTGACATGTAAAATGTGAAGGAAGGTAATCTCATACTCATTTTAATTACACTTTTTAAATAACTTGGGAGAAATATTGGGCTTAAGTTAATTCTGTTTTTGTCAGTAGTTCCTCCACCATTTTCCTCAACGTCTTACATTTTAGGTGGCAGTTTTTATAGCAAGAGCTTGTAACATATACCCACTTTCTTTCCTTTTGAATTTGGGTCGCAAACAAAAGATTCCCAGGAACTTTCAGCACATGATGATGTTTTCAGGTAAGTGCTATTTTGGTATTTTTCCTGTCCACATTTAATAACTGACAAAGATAGTCATCTATCACTGGAAAAAGCCACATCTACCACTAAGAAGTCATTATCTTAAAACTCAAGATAGACTCTTCAAAGCTACTGAAGCAAATGGACGTATTATCAACTTCACTGTGCTCAGACTTATCTTAATTAACTTTTTGGAAACCTACCACCCAGGAAGCCAGTCTTTCAATCCTTTGTCCACCATCTGTCTACACTTCATGACAATTTGGGAATACCATGGTTTTCTGTTCTGTTGTTTTAGAGGCACCTGTAGTATACCTGACAGTATGCTTACATACCAGCAAAGAAATATACAATTTTGAAGGTGTTAGTACTGATACTTAAATCAGACATGGTCTTTGGCAATTCCTTTAACTTCAGGAACAGTTTTACTTTGAAACGTGAGACTAAGAAACTTTAATTCCACAGACCTTTTCATATGTATTACAGACTGATATTTGAGTACTCTTGCTAACATTGCAGAATTAAAAAAAAAAAAAAAAAAATCCAGAAGAGGGAGCCATGTTCTATTCTGATTTGTGCATCATCCCCTCAGCTGTTAAAATCTCAGCTGGATTCTGTATTTTTGGACTTGAAAAAGCTAGAAATATCTCCACTTGACTTTCTGATGCTAGTTAGGAAAAACTCACTTACAAGCTAAGAATATTTTGGGTTTTTTCTTCATTTTTCTGCTTTTCCAAATTTTTATGGGCAAAAGTTCTTGATTGACAGTCTTGATGTACACTGATCTATTTAGCCAGCTAAGTAGTAAAATACAATGTGCCACATTTCAAGCTTCATCATCAGGAGTACTCCACATCAGGGTGCCTCATTTATGCCTATATAATTCCATCTCTCAAGACAGCAACACAGTAGTTCATTTCTATATCCATATCCATCCAATCCTTCTGCTAAAAGCTGCCACTGAAAATGTCAGTTAATACCAGCTAGATTGTCATGAGAGATGATGATACATCCATTAGGAACTGGCTTTCAGACTGCTTGCTAACCTACAATTGTTAGCCGTGTAAGATGTGTATGCAGATCACTCTAGGAAAGCTAGCAGATGGACTACTGAACAGCAGCATGAAAAATAGCTTCATATCATTACTTATCTATTTTCTGGGCTCCGTTTCTGCTTTTACTTTTCATCAGATAAGGTACATAATTAAAAATCTTCTAAAACATATCTTATTCAACTTTTCTGTCCTCATTTTCTCCAGTCAAATTTAATTCTCCACAGAACTAAGAGCAGAAAGTAGCCTGCAGCCAACAGCTGAGCATGTGAACTCACACTTGCACATTAGCTTTCCAGTACAATCTGGCAGCTGAGAACTGAAAATAGTAGTATTGAAAACTTCTAAAATGGAAATGTTAAAATACTCAGAAATTTTTAACTGTTTGAAAAGAAACACTGTATTTTGTAGAGAAAAATGTCTTTATAACTTTACAAAATAGTAAATGGCATCATCTGCAAGTATAGCAATAAAGGCTGACTGCCTCTCACACTGCCAGCAGCTTCACACTCCACAAAACACTTAGGATATGGGGATTTTCTATGTAACTGTACTTCTTAATATGCACCAAGATTTCTGCTTAGTTACCAATAAAATTCTTATTTACTGTAAACTTATCATACTGTACATATTGATAGAGAAGGCAATGACTACCAAAAGAGAAACATTTCTGATATGAGTAAGCAAGGCACTGAATTTGAGTTTGGACGAAGATGCTTATTGCCTTCACCAGATCAGCCGCAATATTCTGGTATAGCATCAGGTTCTAGTCGGTCATGGGGAAAACTGGGCTTCACTCACCCCAGCATCACACACTCAGACGTAGGAAACAACGAATTTGGGATTACTTTTGTTTTCCATTTTATCATTACTGAATGCACCAAACATTTACAGCTTTTTTTCCTGAGTTTTACGCTGTAATCACCATGAATATCAAAGTCCGAGAAAAGCAATTAAGGTCAGGTCAACATTGTTGATTAGCATTTGATTAGCATCTTACTCCGCAAAGAATTGTACTGAAGTCATTAAGTTCTACTTTTTAAGGAGCATTAATACACTTGAGAAAAGGTGAAGGAGTTACACTTGGAAGTGGATTATGTAGCATTTTGATTTATTACATTCTTCATCTGCTTCTGCCACTCCTCCAACAACACATTACAGAGGGTGGATTCACTTTTACAGCTATGTTTAATCATGATTCCTGATAACATTCCATTGTAAATCAAAACTAGATTAGTCCCTGTATAATTAAGCCTGAGCTTCTCAAATTAAGTTCAACATCAGCTAAAGTCAGCAGGTCAGCATTCTCTGTTCATGTGAAAAAGAAATACTTCAGTGTATTATATTGTAAGGGAACTATCATTATAAACTAGTGGTCTACGCTGCATGAAAAAATCCTTATTTCAATTCAGACCCTGCTATGATGTCTTTAACTGGTAATACAATTAAAAGGGAAGGAAACTAAATGGATCCAGATGGACTTACTAATGTCCAATAATGTTTTATATTTGCACATCACTGTCCCATAACCACGAGGGGACTATTTCACAGGTACTGTACTGCCCCTTCCACTCTTCTTCCAATATCTCTGTTTACTTTTTACTGTGATTTCCTCTTCTCTACAGCACGTAAATCAGCAAGAGAAGGGCTTGTGGGACATGGTGCTACAGGGGTGGTTGCTGTTAATATAAGACATTACTGCAGCAGCGGAGTCTGAAAGGGTGGAACACAAACACAGAAGAAAACCAAAAAAGAATGCCTGTGTACAGGCAGCTGTTGTGCAGGCATTTACATCTGCACACTCATACATGATGGTGGGAAGTGTCAAAATGAACTTTTCCGAGAAGATAGATATGAAATCAGCTAAAGAGAAAACAAGGAAGAAAAGAGCAGATGACTATGGTTGAAACCAAAACACCAGATCTACATACAGAAGGTCTCCTTTCCTGGCAGATTCTCTCCACACTACTCACAAACACTATTGCCTTCAAAGGCTCTTCAGAGGGATGGGTTCAGAGTAATGTGTGTGTGGAGTGTGAGCAGAGGATGGATAACAGCCCAAGAGGGCACAGTTTTTCTGTTCTGTGGGCCTCTGAAGCTTAACCCTGGGGGTGGTTTTCTTTGGAGGCCCTGACACATTAAAGAATATCCTTTAAAGATGGATCCCTAATGGCTGGCACAGCTAGCACAAAAATCTGGTGGCAAATCTGTGATAGAGCCCAAAGGATCAATGGATCACAGTACAGATGTGGAACTGCTGTCAGTGTGCCATCTCTGAAAGATGAGGGGAGAGAATATCTGTTAATGGTTTATCAGAGCATTTTTCTTCTACCATGCCACTCTCTCCAGGTGTAGCTGCGGTACCAATGTCCACTGAAGCCAATCATTCCATTGTGCTTTGTTGGTATTTTTTCCCAAGGTGTTACGGAAAACTTAACTTTTGTTATCTTCAGTCTATTTCAGTACCTTACCATCTTCTGAGACTGTTAAATTTCCCCTCCTTTATTTGCATTGTTACTTGGAATTTACTTTGATATATACAATAGTGTTCCTTGCTTCTCACTGAGTCTTTATATTTTAGGTTATATTCATTTGCTTCCTACTAAAGCAGTGGGAAGCAAATGCTTTGTTTGGTCATTTATTTTACTTTGTTTTCAGTTGAAACTGAATTAGCTTTTATAGATTATGTTGAGCCTTTTATAAATGAAAAATCCAGTGAAGGCACTCTATTTCTCTAAACTGAAGAAATACCCAGTCGCGTGCTCAAGAAGTAGAGTCTTAATGATATATTAATCAACATTTTTTTTTAATATTCCCTCTTGCTAAAACAGATGTTCTAGATTTAATATTGCATGTACCATTGTGATGCAGTTGTGGAAAGCAGCAGTTTTCCACCAAAATGTAGCCACCAATTATTTAAGCATATAATCTGGGCTAATCATCTTGATTGCCACTATAACCACTGGAAAAAGACCATTTCAGTGGTGGCTGATTCCTTCCTCAGATACATGTTTAACATGAGCTGATATTTTTTTTTTTCCATAAGAAAACAGTAAAGCATGTGCATCCTTAGAGATGTCTTTTACATGAAAACAAAGTCAAGGACAAACCCACTTGTTGACTGGAGCATTGTTTTTTTAAAAGCAGAGATTTTAAACCTGCTGCCACTGACCATTTTCAGCTAGTATAACTACAGTCTGGTACTTCCTTGCAGAAATGGCTTTGTGTTGGTCTCTGGATAAACTGTCCATCTTCTATACCAAATAATTCACATACTATCTATGTAATCTGAAAGACTTTTAGAGCTTTACTCCAAAAATAGCTGCATTTAGCAGCTGATTAAATGATTCTGCATATACCAGCAGTGCCTTACAAGAGGTTTAATTATTAGATTTACTCTCTTGATACTTGCAAAGAACTTTTTTGATTCGGTGTGTATTGTGTACGTGTAACAGCCTTACTCTCTACACTTATTTTATGGATTTTTTTGAGAAAAAGATGAAGTAAATTTAAATAGATAAATGAAAAGCATTGGAAAATATAGAGTATTGTTTGTATTATGCATCCTGAGGACTGGAGGCACTAGAGAGCTTTTTTTCCCCCCCTTTATTTTAGATGTGTCATTCTGTGAGGACCTATTTAGTTAGCTTATTACTACCTACGGGGCTTTTTTAAAATTTGCTGTTAGCTGTTTTCTCCACATTTGTAAGTTTTTGTTTATTCTGTGTCTGTAGGTGTATAATTTTACAACTATTATAATATTGCAAGTACACTAAGAGCTAAAAATCTACATTTATTCTTCATCCCCTTTTTAAATATTTAAAATCATCTTTTAAAAACTATTCATTGTTTTTAAGGCATAACTTTTGTGACTGTTCTTAACACAGTGAAAGATTTTAAAGGAATTTTGAAGAAATTTTCTATTTTTTCAAGCAAGAAATAGGTAGCATATTTGGGTACAGATTTTAATGCCAACCCTCTTTCTCAGTTGCACTTGATTTAATGATTAATCCCACTGAAGTCAGAAAAACAACACTGAGAATAGATTTCTTTTTTAACATGCATAAAGTCCAGATTCCTATTTAATACGCAATTTTTCAAAACAAAGAATTAGGTGATAAAATAAATGTGTGATTATTATGGGAATATGAGAGCAGTTTCATTGTCCACTTTCGCAAAGTTGTTTACATTGCATTAATCACCATCCTTTCAGTTAGCACAATTCAGCATTTTATAAACATGATCATGGTCTGAAAATTTCCTCTGACCATGGAATTGGGTTTGGGCTGAAAAGAGCGAAGTTCTGTTTCTCCATCACATTAAGTTCATCATTACTGTCTGTTTTTTTTTTTTTTTAAGGTTTACGTGGTGCAATAGCATTTGCATTGGCTATTCAAGACACAGAATCCCAACCCAAACAAATGATGTTTACAACAGCACTGCTTATTGTGTTTTTCACCGTCTGGGTGTTTGGTGGGGGCACAACACCAATGCTCACATGGCTTCAGATCAGGTTAGTACTATCTTTACAATATTAACCATCAAAATAGAATGCAATCACTATGAATCAATCACTAAATTCCAACAGTTTTCTAAAGCTTACTTACATGTTTTTATAGTTTTACAAGCACACATGAACCATTTGGCTACCTGGTTGAGGCTCCAGACCACAAGGAACAGGTTCTTCCCAAGTTCATTGTGGGTTTGGACCTAGGTCAGACTCATCCTTATTTCCTAAGAGTTCGTTTCACTACTGTTCCTTTTAAACACTGTGAATAAGTGTTAGCAGTGTCCTTGGCACTGTTGAAGAAAGAGCTATAAAGGCAGATTTTGCCTTCATCTAAAAATGTGTATTTATTACACAAACATGTCATAAGTAATGTATTTCTGATTATAACGTGAATATACTAGAAAAACTACCTGCATTGGTGTAAGATTCAGCCATTATTAGTTATTGTTTTATATATGCTCCTTCACTATATTATATTTTAAATTACTTAATAGCCACTTGTATTCACAGACAGCAATGAATGACAAGGGAGTTTAAATGAGAAAAAGAGAGGGAAATAGGAAGCTGGAATAAAGAGTACCTAATTTAAATGTAATGTCCTGCCAAGCACAATTTCTGAAACCCCACTTTTAAGAATAAAAATGTAATGCTATTACTGAGTTCTGGTTACTTCATAATCCATTTAGAACTCACTGCTATGGTTTGTAAGGTCACCAAAGGAAACCTTAATATCAAGATAGGCTTGTAATTCACAATTCTTTATCACTTATCCTATATATAACATATACTTTCCTTGTATACAAAATGATGTCTGATTAACAAGTCTTTGTGTCAGACTTGCTATAAACTACCAGCTGAAGATAACTAAATTGGAGCTTTAACAAAGAGCATAGATAAAAGCTTGCAGACAAAGTAAGGACTACCATACAAGTGCACTGTATAAACATAAAACGCAGGCATCCATATGCAATGTGGGGGCCTTCAATTTCTGTGACAGTTTGATTCTTTTTCATAACATCTTTCTTATGTCACAATGTCAATCAAGTTCACTACAGTTTGGATATACTCCACCACTGTCAGCCATCCTTCTGAGATTTGCCACTTTTTCACTGTCAGTCAGCAATAGATCTTGTGGACCAAATCAGTTTCGATTACTATTATCGGAGATTAAGGAATAATTTGGAGAATACAGTAAGGGAAAAATGAGGTGGGCAGTAGTCATGTGTCTAGCCACATGACTGATATCTAGTTAGGTCACTAGATGCCTGTTCTGGTCTATCTCTCTAGGTAATTTTTAAATTAACATTGTCACGTGCTTTCACTAATACAAGCAATTTAATTGTATGCAATGGCATTTCTTCTGTTACTTAGTACTACCCAGAGGTGGGGGAAGGCCCCCAAGAGAGGATCTCTCTTAACTATTTATACCATTCAGTGCAAGCATATGCTTGTTTCATTACCCACCTGTACAATAGGTTTTACCAAAGACACTGAAAGTAGACAGTGATTATTGGTCTGAAATGCTTATCTATCTGCCAGACAGATTTACCAATCAGATAATTTGTTTTTGTAGCTGGGATATAGATTTTTATTACTGTAAAGTTATTAGGTTCACAATTCCCACTTAAGTTCTTGACATCAGAACATAGAGCTTCATAAATTATGAGTATGTGGTCAAACTGAGATAAAACTTTAAATAGACATCTTTAATTACAAATGTATCTTGAAGCTCTGATTTCTCTTTCTAGCAAATATCTTTAACCGTCTTCATAATTTATTACAGTTCAATATAGAATTATGTCCTTAGCTACTAGCATTTGTCATTTAAGTAATTGTATTTGAATGTGGTGGCAATTCATGCCAGTTGATACTTAAATGGATTCTAGCAGACCAATTTGCTTGGTGTACTATCCCCAATATGCTTGCAGCTGTGCCTGAATGGCATTTCTGAGCTGCATCTATCAGATTTTTTTTTTCAGTTAGAAGAGATTGTATTTTTCATGCTAGTTTGGAGGGTTCATCTCACAAAGCGAAGGGAAACTGTATTATGAGTACGAAAATTATGACTGTCTGTGAAGAGACTCATTGGAATGGGTTGGTATGACATCGATTACAGAAAAAAAAAGACGATGCCAGTGAAATGCTGCAACTATGTCTGTAAGAGAGAGACTCACGCTAGCCTGTAAGTGTTCAGTTGATGTGAACTTAGATCAGTCACCATCCCAGGGCAGTTTGAAACCACATCTGTGTGCTTCCCCGGTGCTTTAGGGAACCAGATTTACCACTATCATTCAAATCTAAAGCACTAGATCAGTTAATCTAGACAACTAAAAATAGTTATTCACATTATCAAAATTAACTACTTACAGGAAATGAAAAATATATGAATGACTGCTTTAAAGTCACGGTGACTACATTGGATCTCCCTACATAACCTACAAGTTGCTGTATAAGTAAGCCTTCTCAGGGGACAGGAATGGTCAAAAATACAACAATCAAGCAAATAACTGTCCAAAGCTGAGTGGGCTTTTTTTGCCAATTAACCATTTCATCATAAAATTATTATCCAGCAGGTAGTGTATATAATTGAACAGGAAGCATTCAGAGGATAATAGAGAGAAACGTGATTTCTGGCACTCTGGATTAACTGCATCTTATTCATGTACATTTTAATTGGTGCCCAATCTAGCTATGTGAAATAGGATACAGTTCCTATCAGTAGTTCAGGAGATGGAGGTCTTAACTCCTCAAGGTTGATCAAGTCGGTCTTATCCTAGAGATAATTGCTTGAGTTTATATGTTACAGACAAACTTATCCACATTTTAGTTTTGAAATATAAATAAATCTATCATCCGTTAAGTTGAATACATGTAAAAATAACAAAAATTACAAATAACTAACACTAATATATTTACCATTTGCTCTACCATAATGCATTACAGTGTTAGTCAAGGTAGAAGACAGTATTCAAGATCTGTATAGCCTTCTTATTGTATACTGTTGTCTACAAATCATACCATGTTTCAATGATTTATTGCACTTTCAATAATTTACATTGTGAAATTCTCATAATGGTGACCAAGACTCCTCATATATCAATAGAGTGTAAGAGAATAGAACAATTACAATTTTTAAATAATAATAGTCTTCTAAAAAAAATCAATTTGTTTCCATAATAACTGGAATTTCCATAATCTTCCACATCTTCTCACAGCAATAGCATCAAATCTGCTTTTTTCTCTTTTTTTCAGTTAAAATTTAACTTAATGTAAATATAATCTGTCACTCCATTTTTAGAGAAAAGATGAAGATGTGTCCTCAGAGATAACTACCAGCTGATTCATTCCAGGAATATGTATGGCTTATACAACACTTGCAAATTGTTGCCAAAATATATAGTAAGATACATTATCAAAACTAACCATGTGCTACTGAAAAAGGCTCCATTTCTATCTCCCATTTAATGCAGCAATATCACTTGGTTAACTATCTTACAAGGTTGCAGAGGCCAGCTGTGCTGAGAGCTTTTGTAAAAAGAAGCTTAAATGGATCCCAGGAGTTCACCCACGTTTATTAAGGTTCACAATTCTAGGTCCCATCATTTAACAAACACATTATATTGAAACATATGCTCCTACTTAAACTATAGTTTGAATCTAGGAAAGATTCTTAAAGCGTTGAAAATCTTACCTGCTAATGGAAGAATTTATGTCTACATGTCTCTATATGTTAAAATACAGTTTTGAAAGAAAGCCATAGCAATCATTCTCAACATTTTACTTACTAGTATATTTACCCATAAAGAGTAGGCTTCAAAATGAGTCAAAACTCTTGTCAAAGTCTGAATATTTTTAAACTTTGGTCTAAAAGAATGAGACATACATTTTCAGAAATGTCATATTTATTTTAGCTGTCTCCTTTTTTAGATACATGAAAGTCTCAAGTTTCAGGAAGTGTTGAGTGTTCCTTTTCTGAAAATGGGGCCCTGTTTAAATGTTCCCAGTTGTCTGGCACAGTAACATAACATTTCTGAGCATAAAGGCTACTGCACAGTCTGTTACAGTGTTATCAGCTCGCATTCTGAGAACAGAACTGGTTGCGCCACATTCCTAAATAATACATTGTCTTTTGGCTTATCTGAGAGTTATAACTAGAAAAAAAAAAGTCTTTATGTCTCATATGAAAGGACTACAATATACTGCTCTTGACAGACAATGAATAAACCTGCATCAGTGTATGAGAACAGTAACATGATACATCAACAGAAAAAAAAAAGATAGCCATTTAAGCATGAGTTCACAGTCAAATTGAAGTATTCAATAAATGTGCCTTCAGAGATGTTGAGCATTACCTCCTAATGATTTTGGATATATATCTCCCTTCATTCCCCATACTCTGATTAAAAATAGAGCGGTAAATCTGCAATGAGAGGTTTGGGGATAAAGGATTCTCCTGACAGGCAGAGCAAAAATACAAACCTGTTAATAAAACATGTCCTATAAAAGCATTGTGCTAGGTATTAGGTCCTGTTTGTTTATCATCACCTCCTGTGTAAACGTTTGTCAAGGGATTTCCAGACTTTTTGTGCATCTCTTTGCAGCAGTTCTTCGACAAATAAGGAGATTTTTATTCCATATTCTAAATAAATACTAAGCAGCATTGAATAGTAATTTTGAATACTGTGCCTATCTGGCCATTGCCTTTGATACGTATTTTTTAACTATCTCTGTCTATTTGCCTGGCTGCCTTTAAAAACATGCCGTCTCTAGCTCACCTAAAACTTCAGTTCCAAACCTCCAACTTCCTCTAAATGCTAACGCCAGAGGCCTGGCATATCATCCTTTATTGGGATCACCAAGGCCGTCTAAACTCACACTCTCATCAGGAGCATCTCCTCATCACACTCTTCTATGAGAAAGCACCAACCCAGGAAATTAAATTAATCAAATCATCTATTGTCTTCCCTAACTTCTAATTGACCCAAATTTTCAGATGCACTTCC